GCCCCGGGCGGGCCGTTGCCCCCGCGGCCACCATCCCCGGCCGGCCGGCGTCTGCCCGGGCGCGGGCGCCCGGGGACGGGCGCGTGGCGCGTCGCGCATGCCGGGAGCTGTAGTCCGCGCCGCCGCCGGCTCGGCCCGGGGAGGGGTCCCGCCTGGTCGCCGCGCCGCCCTCCGCGGTCCCGCCCTGCTCTGCCCTTCCTGGCGGGCCACGTGCTGGGGGCTCCGGAAGAAGCCTTTGGCCAATGGGTCACTGCGTTTGCGGAAAGTCAAGTTCCCGGACACTGGGAATATGGTGACACCCCAAATCAGCGGTCTTCCCTTTCGTTGTCCCCATGGTGGTTTTTCCCTTTGTCCAGTCGGGGCTATCAAACAGCTGGTATGGGAAGAATCTTCTTCCTCCTGGGATCCCCCTTGTGTTTACCTGTATGTGTTTTCTCGTGTTTTCTCATTCTGCCCTCGGTGTATGTGTAAGGGTGGGGGACAGGGTGGGTGGGGAGGGCGTGGGTTCTTTCCCCCACATGAGTTCTCTGAAGACAACATAATGGGACTTAAAGTTGGCAGAGCATCTTCTACGTGCCAGACGCTTTCTGTATGTGTATTATTCACTTAAGCTCTCCGCATCCCTGGGAGGCTGGTATTACTCTACCCATTTTACAGATGAGGCCACAGAAGTAAAGTGATGGCCTGAATCACGCAGCTGGTAAGTGGCAGGCCGGCAGGAGCCCAGGTGGGTTGCAGGTTCATCTCTAGCACCAATGCCCCTTTCCTGCATGGGTCGTCATGGATCCTTGGGAACGATTTCTAGGGGGGAAGAGTAGAGAGGGCCCTGGATCAGAGTCCGGAGAACTGAGTTTTCATTCTGGCTTCTGTAGGATGAAGTGTTGGGAGATGTCTCAGTTTTCCCATCTGTAAGTCCAGAGGGAGGAGGGATTCCCATCTGTAAATGAGTTATTGCCCTGATAACCTGGAGGTGGGACTGGCATTCTGCGTACTGCAGAGTGGGAGAAGTGGGCAGTTCCTCGTGTGGTCTGGGACCAGGAACAAGGGCTGCTGGGAAGCGGTCCTCCTTCATCTCCTCTCTTCTTCTTGGAGTGAGCAGGACTGAAGCCATGTTGGGGCCCAAAACTGATGGGCTCTAAAAGAACACAGTTTTTTTCTTTCTTTCTTTCTTTTTTTGTCCTTTTTGAGACGGGCCGCACCGCGCTCATCCAGTGAGCGCACCGGCCATCCCTATATAGGTTCGGTGCTGCTGCGCTCCCAGCACCACACTCTCCCGAGTTTTTCTTTCTTTCTTTCTTTTTTTGTCCTTTTTGAGACGGGCCGCACCGCGCTCATCCAGTGAGTGCACCGGCCATCCCTATATAGGTTCGGTGCTGCTGCGCTCCCAGCACCACACTCTCCCGAGTGCGCCACAGGCTCGGCCCAAGATGACACTATTGACATGAATGTAAAGTTGTTTTCCAGCCAGCCTGGAGCTGCAGGCTTGCATGTACTATCCAGGCCCTGGGAAACTGAGGAAGACATCAGTAAAGCTCTGCTGATTCCACCCCCCAGCAGGATCATGAGATAGCAGCACAACCTTGGTAAGACCCTGTACCTGGTTCCTTGCATGGAGCCCCCACGGCTCACGTTCAAGGAAGACATCAGTAAAGCTCTGCTGATTCCACCCCCCAGCAGGATCATGAGATAACAGCACAACCTTGGTAAGACCCTGTACCTGGTTCCTTGCATGGAGCCCCCACGGCTCACGTTCCCCTCCCTCCTGCTTTTCATTTCCCATGTTCCATTCTCTCAATCCCCCCTTCGAAAACCCTTCAGTAAATCTGAGTCTTGGAGATTGCTTTAGTCTGCCCATTCTCCTTCAGGTTTACTGGAGACATGGGTCGGGGGTGCCTTGGGCCTGTTCCCCAAGACCATTCTGTTTCCCTAGGCCTCTGGGCCTGTAATGGAAAATGCAGCCTACAAGATCTCTGAGATGCTTTCATGGTCTTTTCCCCCCTTCTCGTGATAATCCCTTTCTTCCGTACTCATCTCCTTAGCAAACAGTCGCTGGGCTACACCACTGAATTGTTCTCCTGAAAATGCTCTCTGCTTCTCTACCACATGGACAGGCTACAAATTTTCCGAATCTTTATATTCTGCTTCCCTTTTAAATTCTGGCTTTATGTTGTGCCTTTGCCACCATAACTCAGCGTAGGCTGTTACAAGTACCCATGCAACTTCCTTAATGCTTTGCTACTTAGAAATTTCTTCTGCCAAATATCCCGGGTCAGCACCTTTAAGTTCCACGTTCTATAAAAATTTGGGGCATAAACAAAATGCAGCCAAGTTCCTTGCAAGTTCATAGCAAGGATGATCTTTGTCCCATTTTCCAACAAGGAGATGTTAATCTCTCCTTGGATCACTGGTATTTCTGAATAAAAGCTGACTTCCATTTTTACCAACATTTGACTTTTGAGTGGTTTGCTTTTGAAAGGGGGTGGGTGCTGGACTTGGCCCCAGTAACCTTCCTACTGTTTCAAACCAGTTCCTGGTCTATGGGGATGGGGTGTGGAGCTTCCCTCATTGATTCTAGTGTCACACAGGGGCCCTGAACATTTGGGCATCCTGGTCCGTACTGGGGGTAGGTTCTCTGTTACCTCCCAAGGCCCTGATTGCTCCATAAAGCCTTTCACCTTGACAGGGAGTAGGTCAAAGACTTGCTAGAATCCTGCTCCTGAGAATTCACTAATGTGCTATTGAGCAACTTCCTCTCTGAGCCTCAGTTTTCTCTTTTGCAAAATGGGAATTATAATGATTGTGACCCTAGAGTATTGTAAAGATTCAATTATATAATGTCTATTAACACTAGCCAAGTCCCTGGCATTTAGTATACGGAATGAGTGAATGAATGAATGAATGAATGAACGAGATGGGATATGAACTAGCCTTGAAAGATCAGCAGCACTCCTGGTACTCAGTGAGTGCTCAACCATTGCTAGCTAAAACAAAGCTAGAGCAGGAAATACTTTTTTATCCCCTTAAGGGTTGTAGGCAGGGGAGTGACGGTCAGATTTGCCACTTCGATCGCCCCTTGGGCTGCTGGAAGGATGTTCTGAAGCACCAAGAGACCAGTTAGGAGGCCTTCTGTGTCTAAGTCAGCAGTGGGGGAAGCCCAAACCAAAGCAGTGTCAACAGGACAAAATGGGAGCAGGTGGATTCAATGGACGCATAGGAGGTGGAATTGAAGGACACAGGTTCAAGGGGCTTTGGTAGGAGAGGGAAAGGGGAGTCTCCTGGCTGGAACCACGTCAATGGTGGTTCTGTGAAGCAGGACAGGCAGTACAGGAGGAAGGAGAGGTGGATTTGGGGAGCAAGCAGAGGGATGAGGAGTCCAGTTTGGGGGCAACCTGTTTTTGCAATGCCTGTGGGGCAAGAGACAATTGTCCCTCCAGTTGTGATACTCAGGAGAGCAATGTGGGCTGGAGAGGACAGGTGGAGCTGTCCTTGGCCTTGGGAAGGGAGGAGACCCCTCACGCCAGGAGGACGTGAAAAGTCTCAGAAGAAGGGGCCTAGGAAGGGTCTCGGGAAGTGGGGAGAGGGGATGGTGGATCAAGTGGGGGAAGAGGAAGGAGAAACTTCTGGAAAGGGAGGAATAGGAGCTGCATTCCAGAGACCAATCATGGGCCAGTTTGAACGAGACAAATTTAAGTGAGGAGTAAAAGTCGAGAAGGTGGAGTTTGGTGTCCTAGAGCCGAAGGAACCCAGGCTTGCCTGACCTGACCTGCTCCTATACATGTGACAGAACCGAGGCACAGAGTGACCTGCACGGGGCCGCTCAGCATGACGGGACAGATGTGGAATAGCCTCCACATTTCTTGGGCCAGCCCTTGCCCACCTGGGGCCGCCTCTTTCCTGGTGAGGAGTGTGGACTCTGCAGCAGGACTTGGACAGCACCGAGTTTTTGAGCAAAGGATACACGCCATCCATGTGGCATTTAGAGAAGCTTAATCTGGCACTGGTGTACAAAGGGAACAGCCTGGGTGGGGCAGAGCCTGGGGCCAGGGAGGGAGAGTGGGGGGGAAGGGCCAATATTCATGTTGTGGGGGAACTGCCCAGAGCCCCCCGACCTCCTTCCTGTAGTACCATCTTCTTGCCTGTTTCCCCCACCGCACAGTGAGCTCCTTAGAACAGACTCCATCCTTGTGCTGCCGAATTGCAGGTGTTGAAGGTGTCAAACACTGTGCCTCACTTAGGGGCGGTGAATGGAACAAAAATCCCAAAACACTGGACTGTCCTTTGGACACCTGTCTTCCTTCACACTGTACTTCTATTTTACTTTATTTAACTGCTTTTTGCTTCCCATGTGCCAGACACTGTTCTAAGTGCACCACCGCACGTCCTGTGTGTTCAACGAAGACGAGTTTACCATCTACTACAGGACAAGCCAAAGACCTGCTCCAGGCATTCAGAAACAACAAGAGCCACTGTCATTTACTGACAGTCTCTGCTGCACCAGGGAGTGCCCATGTGTAATCTCACATAATTCTCACCACGAGCCCATGAGACAGGTCCTGTTACTATCCCCGTCTTACAGCTGATGAGACCAATGCTCAGAGATCATGGGCCCTTCCCCGGTTGTGCTGAAGATGGTGACTGAGAGCAGGGCCAGCCTCAGAGCTTGGCCTCACTGACTCTGAAGCCAGAACTGATCGCCCCTCTGCTCTCCTGCCTCCCACAGACCCCACAGCACCCTTGCAGCAGGTCTCCTTAATGCCACGTGGCATGTGAGGAAAGCATGGGCAGAGGGCTGGTCCAACATGGGCCCATCTGAGCCTAGTGCCAGGGCTGGTCATTGTCACTCCACGGGAATTGTCTTTTTGGCTAGAGCCCTGGAGGTGTCAGGTGGAGGCTGGGCCAGCACTTTGGTCCCAAAGTGCAGGAGAAGCCAGCCTCACTCCGCTCCTTTCCTCAGGAGCACCTATCCCTAGACACAGCGCCCCCTCAGCAAGCACCTAAAATGTTCCCACCTGAAGCAGCAACCTCACCAAAGAGGGACACAGCCAAGAAGCAGGTGGCAAGAGCTAAGACCCTTAAATATAACTTCAGATGCTGCCACATCCCTGCCTGTGTCTGGCCTTTGTCAGGGGAGGCCATGTGTTGGTGGAAAAGCACGAGGGCTGGGAGGGGTACCCCCACCTCTGGAAAAGGACCCTAACCCTTCCTTTCCACCAACCTTGTACTCAGGCCATCACTGTGTTTATTGAGCACCATCTATGTGCTAGGCATCGAAGCACAGGGATGAAGATGTCTGAGGTGGTCCCTGCCCTAGAGGAGGCTTTGGTTTCGGGGAGGTGGAACTGAGAGGCTTTTACAAAACATGGAATCCCAGATAGCTCTACGTGTAACCACGGACTGTCACTCTTCATGTTTTTTTGCATGGCCTTCCCATTTAGAGGATAATATTAAAAAACCAAACATTCCTTAGATAATTTTTGGGGTGATGGTGTTGTCAGGCACCCTCCCACAAGAATGCACTTACACACCACTCGAGCAGAAAAGGGCAGTTTATTCACTCCAGCAGCCAGCGTCCATCTCGCAAGAAGCAACCAAGGAAGAGCGGCCTTGGGCCTTGGTCTTGTGGGGTTTTTAAAGGCAAAAACTACATCCCGTTGGCACACAGGTTTGTCCAGGTGCACAAAGCAAGCTAGGGAGCGAGGTCACAGAGGCCAAGGATGAGCCGTCAGAGCAGTCAAGCGTGCAACTTTTCATTGTGTATGGTTCCTGTTCCCATCTAATAGTTTACTGTGTATGGTTCCTGTTCCCATGTAATAGTTTACTGTGTATGGTTCCTGTTCCCATGTAATAGTTCACTGTGTATGGTTCCTGTTCCCATGTAATAGTTTACTGTGTGTGGCTCCTGTTTCTATGCAACGGCTTTTGTTTCTATGAGATCAACGGTTGCTCATGCAGAAGGGGGGTAGTCTGCAGGTCAGACAGGGGGTAAAATGGAGTTACTTAGGTTAAGCAAGCAATTCTACAGAAGCAGATAGCGTACGTTATGTGGGTGTAGGGAGCTCTATTTCATTCCCAACTCCTCTTTAGGAAGGAATCAAACCATTGATTCATCTGTACTTAATCTGTTGTACTTAGTATGTAAAACAAGGAGTTTGACTGATTGTTCGTTAACCAAGGTGACCAGGAAAAAAATTTTCAAACCAATTTTTATTACCACCATATGACTCTTTTTTTAAAAAATGTGTTTTCTGACTAATGCAAGACTGTCCCTAATAACACCCGAATGGTTGGTATAGAAACAACAGGTTTTCCTAGAGCCATATATAATCCACCTTGTTAGTCTGATTGTGTGGATTACATGTGGGTGCAGCTGCTGCTGTTCATTCAGATAGGTCCAGCCTCTGTGTAGGACACAATGACCACAGCAAAGAGGAAAAAATTAACTTTTTACAACAATGTCAGATTGACCACTTGGTGTAAATCTTTTTTATCAAAGCACTTTACATTTTAAAATTGTTATTTAATTGGAAAAACTCTCAATAAGCTAGGAATAGAAAGCACCTTTCTTAATCTACTAAAGTGCATCTACAAAAAGCCCACAGCTAACATCATACTTAATGGTGAAAAACTGGGTGCTTTTCCCATAAACTAAGGAATAAGGCAAGCATGCCCATGCTTGCCATTTTTATGCAGCATTGTTTGGGGCCAGCATTGTATGTTAGTCAGTCTACTCATGACAGAGGAGGAGGTTCAGATTGGAAAGGAACAAGTAAAACTGCCTTTATCCATAGATGGTATGGTTCCGTGTGTAGAAAATACTGAGGAATCCATACAAAAAGCTACTGGAACTAAACACGTTTGGCAAGTTTGAGGACCTGAGACTAAAATGAAAAAAGCAATTGTACTTCTATATACTAGCAATGAACAGTCTGAAAATGAACTTAACAATTTCAGTCACAAAAGCATTGAAGAGCACTGTGGGAACAAATTTAACAAAAGCATGCAAGACTTGTCTGTTGAAAACTACAAAATACTGCTAATAGAAATTAAAGACAATCTAAATAAAGGCAAAGACATTTCGTGTTCATGGACTAGAAGACAATATCGTTAAGACGTCAATTCTTCCCAAACTGATCAATAGATTCAATGTAACCCCTCTCAAATTCCAGGAGGCCTTTTTGCACAATTGACCAATTGCTTTTGTCAGTGGGCAGGCCTCTCTGACCAAGGGGTGAATCTGGTGTATTACCTGTTGGAGGGCCTGAAGAGACTGAAGAAGGTTATGGTTAGTGATTTCAGCAAGTTTATCATCTCTGAGGCAGGGCAACAGAGAGGGTATAATTCCTTGCATGTAGGGGGTGCGTTTAGCCCTTAGGAGGGCAAAGGGAAGGAGGCTCACCCAATTCTCACCAGTCTGTAGCTTTAATTTGATTAGTGTTTCTTTTAAAGTCTGATTCATTCGTTCTACCTGTCCTGAACTTTGTGGCCTATAAATATAATGTAAATTCCAATTTATTTTTAATGTTTTAGCTAATAATTGGGAAATTTGAGCTGTGAAACCCGGCCATTGTCAGACCCCAAGATTACAGGTAGGCCAAATCTGGGGACAGTTTCTTATAACAATTTTTTTTAGTGTTGTCTGAGCGGTTTCAGTTTTGGTAGGCAAGGCTTCTACCCATCCAGAAAAAGTGTCTGTGAACACCAAAGGGTAGTGATACCCATACTGTCCAGGTTTTACCTCGGTGAAGTCAATTTCCCAGTGTTCACCAGGGTTGGTTCCTTGCGTTCTGGTTCCAATGGGCAGCCTTGATTTTGGCCCTGGATTTACTTGTGAACAAATTTCATGTCTGGTAGCAATATCTTTTGTTATTTCATCAAGATCTTGGATGTCATAATATTTTTTAAAAGTTTGGTTAATTTTGTGGACCCAAGGTGTGTTCCTTGATGTATTTGTTTAATCAGTAATCTGCCTAGAGCGTGTGGCAAATAAATCCTGTGGTCTGGCAGAATTTTCTAATTCATGGCATTGTTGGAGGCTTTTAAGATCTTAGCATGTTTGGGGCCGGCCCGTGGCTCACTCGGGAGAGTGTGGTGCTGATAACACCAAGGCTGCGGGTTCGGATCCCATATAGGGATGACTGGTTGCTCACTTTGGTGAGCGTGGTGCTGACAACACCAATCCAAGGGTTAAGATCCCCTTACCGGTCATCTTTAAAAAAAAAAAAAAAAATTATCTTTTCCATACTTTACAGCCTGTGTTAGGGCTATGAGCTCAGCCTTTTGAGCAGATGTTCTTTGGCTTAAGGCTTGAGCCCAAATGACCTCATCTAAAGTTACCATGGCTGTCCCAGCATACCTGATTCCATTGGAGATGAAACTGCTTCCATCAGTGAACAGCATTTCATTAGGTTCTGTCCAGGGCACACCAGTCAGGTCCAGCCGGAGGCCTTGGAGAGTCTCGATTGTTTTGAGGCAGTCATGGACAGGCTCAATTGGGTCGTCGTCATCCGGGAGGAGGGTAGCCGGATTTAGAGCCATGGTTTTTAGGGGTTGATCTAGAAGTAAAGCCCAATACTGGGTGAAGCAGGAGTTGGTGAGCTAATGTTCAGGTGTACTTTGTAAGAGAGTCTGTACAGAGTGAGGGGCCTCTAAGCATATGTCTTGTTGGCCTCTTTTTACCAGTAAAGCAGTTGCCACTATGGCTCAGAGACAGGTTGGCTATCCTGCAGCTACACTGTTCAACCTCTTGGAGAGGTAGGTGATAGGCCTCTTCCATGGTCCCAGGGCTTGGGTGAGCACCCCCCCCCCCCACTGGCAATGCCTCACATCTTGGCAACAAACAGGCTGAAGGGCTGCATCAAATAAGGTTGGGGAATTTTTAAATCCTTGGGGGAGGTGACTTCAAGTTAATTGTCCAGAGTATCCTCCCCCAGGGTCAGTCCATTCAAAGGCAGAGAGGTTGGCTTACCTCAGCCAGCAGGAGGCTGAAGAAGGCATCTTTAAGATCTAGCTTTTTGGTTTGTTTCTTTTCTGGACTATCTGTCATTAAAGACCCTCTGAGCAATTTCAGCCAGCTCAGATAACAATTTTCCTTTAAATCCTTCCTGTCTTTGAAGCTGTCTCCTAATGTCTGGGCTGACTGGGTAACAAAGGCAATATTTATCACCTGCCCGTTTTCTGGGGTCTCAGGGTCCACAGGAGTGTAGGTCCTGTAAGCCTCCATAAGGCGTTGCAGGAAAGCAGCAGGGTTTCATTTGATCCCTGAGTAGTTTCACTTACTTTTGATAGGTTAGTGGGCTTCTGGGCTGCTGTGTGGAGTCCCCTAAGGAAAGTCTGGTGATACAGATCGAGAGCCCCCTTACCTTGGTTCGTGTTTGGGTCCCACCCATGTCTGTTAGGGGGGAACACATGTTTGAGGCAAACAGGGTCATCGGAGGGTCAGCCATCATGACCAGTAACAATTTTCAGAGCCTCCCTCTGGATCCACTAACATTCTTCTGATGTGAAGAGAGTCCGCAGGAGCTGCTGACAATCATCCCATGTAGGCTGGTGGGTAAAGAAAACAGTCTCCAGGAGGGAGATAAGGCTCTGAGGTTTTTCTGAGAAAGAAGGATTTTGATTTTTCCAGTTGTAAACCGTGAAGGGAGCCTGGTCTTGAGGAGTTCCGGGAGGCAAGGAAGGCTGTTGGGGTGAGAGGGGGGTTTCAAGGAACGGCAGGGAGGGGACTGGTATGCAGTGCCACTCTGAGTATGCAGAGGGAAAGATCAGGTGGGGGAGTGAGAGGGGGGTTTGGAGGAAGGTTAGGGAGAGCCAGTGCCACTCCGAGTATGGGAAACAGGCAAAGAAAGTCCAGAAATACACCCATAGTTCTGGTGAATTGGTTTTTAACAAAGTTGCCAGAGCAATTCTTTAGGAAAAAGCTATGTGTATGCCCTGAAAACTGTTTACACTACCTTTTAAATATTTCATTTATATCTACCTAAATGTTGACTCTGACAACTGTTACACTGTGGAGTTAATAACGTTGTATATTTTTTTAAAGTGATGAACAGAGTATGCTTTCTTAGCTGCCTAATTGACATTTTTCTGAGGTGTTTGGTCAGTTAATACTTTCAACCAACTTAAAAGTAATGTT